AAGGTGATGTCCTTTGCTGTGAAGAGATGGACGTAGGCGAGCACTGACTTGATCTGGTTAAGGACGGAGGCCGACATATTGCCCAGCAGTTCGGCCAGGTTGGGGCTCTCCTTGCCTGCCAGGCGTGGGGCAGCTAGCGACTGGCGCACATCAGTCAGACAGTCCTGATAGAAGTTCTGCAGGGCCAGCAGGTACTGGCGGATGCGCTCCTTGGTAGCCCGCACCACAATTTCTGTGCCCTCAGCTGCCACATTGGAGGCTGGCAGCAGCTTGGCCAGGGCTTGTAGGCGCCGGTGGAAGCGGTCCAGGGCCCGCACCAGCAGTGAGTTGTCCCCGACCCCTTTCTCCAATTGGATGCGCCGCTCCACCAGGGAGAAGTATGTCTCCATGAGGCAGTTGACAAAGGCCACTAGCTTGTCCTGTGCCATGCGGGTGATGTCCTGCACTTTGTCTTCTCGGCTGACAAAGAGCTCCTGATAGGAGGCAATCACCAGGCACATGTTGCTGACAAAGATGTTGCAGCCACGGTCAATGAACTCCAGGATGTCAGTGATAGGAGCACCTCCTGGCTGCCCCAGCTCTGTCTCTAGGGTCTCCAGCTCAGCCTCCAACCGGCAGCGGGCATGAGAAAGGAACTCGTCACACAGCTCCTCTGCTGGTTCATCCAGCTGCAGCAGCAGCTCCACACACTCAGCCAGGTCCTTTGCTCCAGAGCCTCCATCTCTGCCAAGGAGAGAAAAGGGCATTGGAGATGGCAGAGGAGCTGAGATATGGATCTCCACCTCCCCCACTCTCAGTGCATCTACAGTAGGGTTTAAAGGACGGTTATTGGAATTAGCAACAACAGCTAGCTCCTGGACCTGAATCCAGTCCATTTATCACAGCTGGGATGATGATTCTGAAACCTAATCTTAAATCTCAGCCTTACTGATTTCACATTGTCATTAAGTTTCAGAGTTAACAACCTAACTGAAATGAATGGGGGCAGTTGTGTGACTAAGTTAATAGTTAACCTAGTTCACTTTGAATCAGACCATTGCACCCATCTACTCTGGTATCCCTCCCACTCTAGATCAGACCAATGAGACTATCCCACCTCAGTCTTTGTCCACTCCCCCAACACTGAATCAGATCCAAGGTGTATACCTGAATTTCTCCCGCAGCTTCTGTGCCAGGTTGGCCATGATCTTCTGGCAGTCGTCCTGAATGCCCTGGAAGGAGGGCATGTGCTGGTACTGGTGCAGGATAGAACGGGCTTTGCTGTAATAGCGCACTGCCTGTCCATAGGCCTCCAGCTCTACACACTTGGTGAGGCGTGCAGGCAGCTCAAAGAGAAACTGCAGCTTGCGCAGGAGTGTGTGGACCCCTGGGACCCAGAGAGACCCTGTTAGAGGCAGTGCCAGCGTTCCTTAGCACCTCCTCCCTACGCTCTTCTCAGGCAGTTTATAGCCTGGGGCTTTTAATGGACCCACCCACCACCCCATTTCTAGCCTGATTCTTCTGGTCACTGGGTGGTTTGCTGGGCTGTTCTCTGCTCTTCCCCCTCCATCAGCTGCCATCTTGGCCATAGTTGAGGGAGAGACCATGGAAACACTGCTCTTCTGAGCTGTGGAGAATAGCAACCACTGGCCAAGAACAGGAATGAACAGTGCAGCTTCAGGGCTCTTCCTCTCAGGCTTTTCTCCACACCTCATTTCTAGCCTTGGACATCCCGAGTTCCTGCTGCCTGAGAAGAGACTGGTGACTTGACCCAGCCAATGCAGAGGACAGCACTCTCCCAGAATCCTCTCTGCTCTTGAACGTCACGTAAGATTTACTGTGTCAGATACAACCAATGAACTCATCTACCCCGACAGCATCTCCATGCTATCTCTGCTACACTGGATCAAACCAATACACCTAGTCAGCCCGGTATCCCTCCCGCTACACTGGATCAAACCAATACACCTAGTCAGCCTGGTATCCCTCCAACCTCAAATCACATCCTTGGACCTTTCTAGCTGGTTCAGAAGATGGCTTGTGGACAGTACCTGAGAGCTTGGTGATCTGCTCATGCTGGTCTTGCAGGGTGCTGCTGATGCGGGCGCTGAACTCTGTGATGACAGCCATGTTGGCAGCCAGGCAATCCATCTCATCCTCCATCTTCTTGAAGTCATTCTTCATCTTGCGGATTGTGTCTGGGGAGTAGAAGAATGAATTCAACAAGGCCCAAAAATTCAGTGCTAAGGACACAGGTCTCCCTCATTCCCCACATCTGGAGGATTGGGATCTGAGCAGCCCTGCATGTTACCTGTGGCTGAGATGAACTTGTTGTAGTTCTCATACACCAGGGTTTGCATGTCACTGTCCAGAGAACGGATCTGCTTTACCATGTCAGTCTCACAGTCCATAAGCTGGGCTAGTGAGCACTCCTTCCGCAGCTAGGAAGAGTAACAGTAAATAAAGGGCATGGACAAAGATGCCAGTCCTGCCACTGTTCTTCAAACCCCACCTGCTTCCTTGCTATCCCACCACTGGGCTTTATCCTACAGTTCTACCAATGCCTCTCAATACTGATCTGCAGCCCTATGCAAGCCAGGCTTACACTATATGCCTTCCCCAGCTCTGCTGGTGCATTTTAAGCCTGATCTTCAGTTCCCTGTTATCCCAGGACTGGGCTTCCTCCCCACCCTGCCAAATTCTGTCAATGCCCCTCAATCCTGACCTGCAGCCACTACAGTCTCATACCTGGGCTCCCCTATTCTCCAGCTCTGCTGGGGCCCTTCAGTCATGACCCACATCCCCCTAATATTGGGGGAGGGAGGTGCATGGGAGGGAGGAGGGTCTCCAAGAGAAGCAGGCCATAGTCCCTAGCAAGGTTGCAATATTGAAAGGGGCTTGACAGGATGGACTTTCTGCAAGAGAGGCCATAAAGTGGAACCCTTTGGTGGAGCATCCCCGGGTGCAGTCACTGCGGTCACAGGGCTGCGGGGAAGGCAGTGTGTGGAGTGTCCCGCAGGCGTCTGGGTCCCAGCTAGGGGTAGACCAGGCAGTGGAGAGGGGCGAGCCCTGGAAGTCAGCATGGGAGGGCAGGTCCGGCACAGGGGTCAGCGTGGGGGGCTCATAGAGGGATCCTGGGGAGGGCCTTGATACGCGGGGATCCCGAGGTTCTGTGGGTCCCCACTGGAGGTGAGCACATCCGGGTCAGCGAGCACCTTAGTGAGGAAGACTTCCGGGTCGAAGTGCCAGGCAGTGGAGAGGGGCGAGCCCTGGAAGTCAGCATGGGAGGGCAGGTCCGGCACAGGGGTCAGCGTGGGGGGCTCATAGAGGGATCCTGGGGAGGGCCTTGATACGCGGGGATCCCGAGGTTCTGTGGGTCCCCACTGGAGGTGAGCACATCCGGGTCAGCGAGCACCTTAGTGAGGAAGACTTCCGGGTCGAAGTGCGCCCCGTTGATGTCAGTGGGCCCCCCGAAATCCTCTCCTGGGGCCAGGCCGCCCCGAGCCTCCCCCGCCGGGTCCGGCAGCCCGTAGGCCGCCGCTTCCCGCCCGGCGGCTCCGAGCCGCCCTCGGCCGGGCCCGGCAGGGGACCCCCCTGGGCAGCCGACATCTTCCCCCGGCGAGAGCCACAGGCTGGGAAGGGGGGAGCAAAGCCCAGCTCACTTCCGGGATCAGTGACGTCCTGTTGACATTCCCCAACGGCGGTGAGGTCACTTCCGGGATGGGTAGCGCCCTGAGCACGCGCCGCTGGTGCAGACCAGCCCCTGTGTCTGCGTCTCTGCGTGAGCCTGGACTGGCCGGAGGCGGGCAGCGCTAACCACAGGCCGGGGCCTTGCAACTGGTAACATCATAGGTTCCGTGTGGTTCCCTGGACCTGTGGCAGTGCCCTGTCATGCTGCGACGTCACCATGTTAATCGTCCAACTCTACGTACATATGAGTGAATCAGCCTTCTGCACAGCTGTGGTTTTATCACATCTCCTGGTCCTTATTTTACCAACACCTTCAAACTGATTTATGATGTCATCCTGTTACTAGAATTTCTCAGTGGTTACGTTTTCCAAATTCAGCACTATCAACATAGGACTGAATAAGGATCTCAACTGCTTAACACTTTACAAAGGCAATTTCCCTTCTCTGAATATACACATCTCCACACCAAATGAATGTGTGAATGACCCACTTCCACTCTCACTTGATTAGATTCATGAACACAAGCAACTTCTTTCTTATTTATACCCACGTTTCTGTAACTTGCACTCCAATACATCTGGAGAAGTGGGCTTTACCCATGAAAGCCTATGCTCTAATAAATCCATTAGTCTCGAAGGCAAAATACAGGCTGTGTGCCGGATCCGGCCCACCAAGCTGCTGGATGTGGCTCTCACGCTGCTCTGCCAGGACTCTCAGGCACAGAGCAGCCAGCCACTTCAGAGCAGCTCCACACTGCTTTAAGCAACTGGCTGCTCCCTGTAGCTCTCTGCTCGGAGTGCTGGGGGAAGACTTCATGGAAACCAACGAAGGGAGCTGAGAGATTTTGCTGATGGCGGGGGCAGCCCGCAAATCCTCCCCTTCGCCCCAGCACCCAGAGAAAAGAGACACAAGGAGCAGTAGTGGGCAGGGAGCCTGCCTCAGGGTCCTTCAGGGCTTCTGACCAGGAGTCATCTAGGTAAGTGTTCCCCTGCCCCAGCCTATCTATGGCACCCCAGCCTCTTCCTCTCCCAGGTCACCACTGCTTTCTGACCAGGTCATCATCCAAACCCTCTGCATCCCTCCTCCCTAAGGTCACAACTCGCTCCGAGATCCTGCACCCCCTTTTACATCCCTCCCCCAGGCCAGAATCTTCTGCACCTCCTCCCAGAACCCTGCCTGCATCCCAAGCCTCTACTCCAGATCTCAACTCCCTTCTTCACCCAAACTCCCGGGTTTCCTTCTGCACTCAATTTCCAGACTGCCCCATCCCACTTAACATAATCTTGGAGTGACCCCACATCCAAAATTATTGCCCACTCCTGCTCTAAGGTGCCACAGGATGATTGTTTTTTCAGTGGTTACAATCTGTTAGTCTAGATCCTAGTTTAATCTGTGGATCCATCCACAAACCTAATCTATTATCTAATCTATCCATCCATCCATCCCTTTACACACCCTTCTATTCTAATGCATCCAATCATCCATGCCCTCTCACACTATTTAATCTGTCCAAACAACCATTCATCCCATTGCTAGCTAATATCCCATATTTGTTCATGTAGCCATCCATAATCTATCATGCATGGGGACAATCTAATTTAACACGGTGGTATCTCAAATTGGGACTAAGGGTTTCTAATGATTCCCCATCCTGTGTTTTCTTTTCCCCTCTCACAGTGTCCCTCCACTCATACTTCTGCAATCTCTCCTCCTAGTCCCTATGGCTTGGCTGCAAACTGTTCTAGAACTCATTTTTTTATGATCTCAGAACCACTCCTAGCCTGCAGTGAGGTCATGCCATCACTACAACCAGCCTCCAGCCTGCCTTCTGGAGCTAGTCACTCCTTCTTGGCATGGTCAGCAGGATAATTACCAAACACTTGGTTCTTACACCTAGCACAGGATGGGGAGGCATGAGTTGGAAGGACCCTTTTGTCACTATTACTTTCCCCAGCAAAATAATCTTCACCATTGCTTCCTTCCTGATGTTGCTAGTGCACATGGGTGTCTTTGGGGGAGATCTGTACCACTTCTTTGTGACCCAGAAATTCAATCTTATGAGCTTTCATGGCACCACCGTACTACTGGTAAGAGGAGTCCCCTTGCTCTTGTGTCTTGCAGCTTGACCTAGAGGTTAAGGCACTAGCCACAGGTACTTTAGACTCCTGCTTTCTACTCCATGTTCTGACCTCAGGCAAATCACTTCATCTCTGAAGTGGAGATAACCCATCCCTAATGGACAGGGACATACAGGTTCTGGCCATTGTCAGACCTGAGGTCCCACTAAGGTTGGCCTTTCCTGTGCCACTAATATATTTGAATACTGAGGTATGACTATAGCATGAGGGGGGCAGTATTAGAACTCCTGGGTTCTATTCCAATCTCTGAACAGGAGCAGGAAGACATTTATGAGGGAAATGGGGTCTAGCAGGTTAGCACTGGGCAGTGACAGAGGAGGGAAGAGTTCTGACCATCTCCTTTTGCACTGGTCTCTGCAGATATCCCATGTGATAAGTTTTTACTGGGCCTTGCTTGGAACATTTTACACCATTGAGGCTCATGACAGAGTTCTCAGGGGGGTTGCCCTGACCTCGTTGGGTAAGTGACTCCAGTTAATGCCTGAACTGATGGGTGTTTTCAGCAAGGGCAACAGGAGAAGCGCCACTTTAAGTGGTGGGGAGAGGAGGGGGGCCTAGAGTCAAGACTACTGTGTTCTATCTTCAGCTCTAGCTGAGGACTGTACTCTAGTGGGAGCACCTTCCACACCCAGCAGACAACCCAACAATTTGCATGGGATATGGCTGCTGTAATTTAGGCTCCCCACCTCAGAATCAGAACCAACTGGGGCACAGCCAGGTGACTCATGTATGTGAGAGCGAATGTGTGGACACTCCATTGTTTTGGGGGACTCAAGCACTTTCTCCCCCAGCTGTTTAGCTGTCATGTGGGTCCAGCTGCAAAGGGTACTTGTGAACTCCATTCCTTTGACAAGGGCTCTGATTCTATCCCCTTTAGTGATGAACTTCACCCTCTTTGTGAGCCGCTTCTGCCTGGACTACTTGACTATCGAATACAGGGAGGAGATTCACTGAGACCCAGCCTGACCTTGTCAGCAGCCTTGAAGAGGTGCACACACAGCATTCACCCCTAGCTCTGTTGGAATTAGGAAGCGGGGAGGAAAGGGGGCAGTAACACACTGCTGAGGCTGTAGCCAAAATCAAGTTTAATAACAATACAGGATATTGCTGTAGTGCTAGAGACAGTGTCGTTCATTAGTCACATCATCTTCCTGGGAGGTGGGAGCAAGGAAGTCATGACAGCCAGAATCTTCCCAGATGGCCAACCCTCAGTGGTAGCATTTGGCCACAGGGCTCCTCCCATTCCACAGCAATGGCCCATCACTCAATTCCTACCCCAACAATGATCACAGGGTAATGCTAAGGGGCACAACAGAGGGGGAGAGGTTCTGACATCCCTCTCCCAATAGCCACCCACCTTCCCCCCTCCCCCCGCCATGGAATCCTAGAGGACTCATGTTCACAGCTCTCCTTTCCACTGGCGGTGGCTTTTGAGGAAGGTGATATTTTTCCTCTATTGCCTTCTAGGTTAAATTCTATACCACCTGCTCTACTCCAGAACTAGCAGATCCAGACAGTCATTGTCAAAGAGGGGCGGGAGCTGGAAAGGTTGCAAAACAGCAGATCTGCACTAAGGCGCAGTCAAAGATCTGGAAGCATGAAAGGAGTGGGATTGGAGGTGACTGGATTGGATTGGTGTGGGGGGCAGGTTTCCTCTCTGGTCACTGAGACTACTTGGTGTATTTCACACCCTGTGGGAAGGATTATTTCCTATCAACCATTTCAATAAATAGAAGGAAAGAGGCTGTGTTTAAAGCATGAAATCCTTGCCCATCAGAGCTGACAGCCCATAAACCAGGAAGTCTCTTCCTCTTCCACCTCCCTTCTTTAAACTCCAGTACTAACCAGCATGTCCCATCCCCACCCTAAACTCCAGAACAGGGCAATACTTCTCCCCTCACACCCCCCTTCCAGTGGTGGACATCCCACAGCCCTCATGGTGTCAGCTCTGTACAGACCCAGAAGTGACCAGCTTTGGAATTTCACCCACCCACTCCTATAGGGTCAGGGGGACACCAACCCCACCCCACTCTTGTTAGTAAAATAATCACACCCAAGAGGCCCAGACTCCTTCCCTTCCCCCTGGTATTATGAGATGGGAAGTGAAGGTTCCCTTTACTAAGATGATGGCAGAAGGGGTTTCAACATCTCATGGCTGTAAATAATGCAGGACATAGATTGGTGGATCTTAGTTTTCACCCCTCCCATTCTGGTAAAGTTAAGGACCAGGTAGTTACTGGTGTGAAAAATCAGAATTGATGAAAGTATGTTACACCTCTCCCATGAGGGGGCAGGGGGGAGGGAGACTAAGGATGTGACAAAGGGCTGGTTCCTGTCATTTGGTTCAATGAGAGTTCTCACCCCCGTTTGCAAAACTAGTTGGGATCCAGCACCCACTTGATTTGAACCCCCAAAGGATGTGTACAAGGGGAGGGGGGGATGATGGGAAATTCTGTACCACTCCCAGCAAAAGAGAAGGGCAGTTTTATGTGGGGTCTATAGAGTGGGATGCCCCATTCCCAAGCAGGAAAGGAGGCTTCTGTTGGAACAGGCTTCCTCCCAAAAGTCTTAGCAGCTGGCTGGATCAAACAGATCCTCTGTCACCCATCTAGTTGAGACCAGGAACATAACTGCACCTTCCTCCCTGGGGCAAAGGGTTTTTCAGGGATAAGGTTGAGGAAAGCACAAGTAGAAGGACTTAAAACCAGAGAGCTCTGCAGTGCTTTGACTACAGGAATGGACCCATCAAACCTGGGATGTTTTTCACAAGGCACCTCTGAGGAAGCAGAGGCTGCCCAGGATTAGAGAATGGAAAAGGGGAACAAAAGGGCCCTGAACCCTTTCAAACACCTGCATTAAGACAATCACGTTCTCACCCGCTGAGACAGATTGGGCTGGTAGGGTCCAAGTTCTGGGCAGTTGAGGGACTTGGGGGATAAGCCAGCTCCTAGGAGAAGGGCATCAAGCCGAGGGTTGAAGGAGCCAGATGCCATTGTCAGGGGAGAAGGGCTGTAATACCAAGTAGTTCACACTTCCAAGAAGGTGCAGGGTATTTGCCCTTCAATGTTGCTAGCACCCAGCTTTCTGCAGACAGGCATGGAAATGCCCCATTTTCCTGAACACTCACCACCAGCAGGAAACTGAGACTTGGGGCAGGGAAGTGACTCGCTTGAGGTTGCACAGCAGGGTCAGCAGTCATTGGGAACAGAACTCAGGATCCTAGCTCCCAATCTCCCTGCTCTGACAAACAGATCACCCATTCACTGTGGGCTGGCAATGGAACCCAAGAGTCCAGGCTTCCATTCTTGTGCTGCCTCTCACTTACCCCAGTCCTTAGCCACACTCGCACCAGCAGCACAAGCCCTCCCCGGTTACTAGTGCTTGGAGCTTTCCTCTTCCCTTGTCCTGAACAGCTCCTGGGGCTGATTCTCAGCTGGAGCAGGAAGCGACTACAGGGCTCATTCCAGCCCACGGTGGGGTCCCCAATCCATAGCTGTACAAGTCTCTCCATCCCTTGGCGTCCTGCTCTGCCCCACCCCACCCCACCTAGAGATTTATTTGAGTCTCATTTTTAAAAGAGGCCAAAGTCACTTCACCCCCCCACCCCCATCAGTTTCATGTTTTGACTCTCAGCTGAGCTGACCCAGCAGTGTCCTGGCTGGGGGCTACCCCTTGTACTCCCCCCAGCACCCCACTTGCAGCTGCCAGTCCCCAGCATCCCTGCCTTGGCAGGCCAATCTCGGAGCCCAGGGAGGCATCACCAGCTCAGTTCATTCCTGGCCCACCCGGATGTGAGGGTTAAACATGGGGTCCAGGTTGGGGTCGTTGTCAGCCGAGGCCCGGCCCAGCTTCGACATGATGATGATCAGGGTAAGAAAGCCAATGCCGCCGATCAGGAGGATGATGACAAACCGTTGCATCAGGGATCGTGGCTGCCGCTTCTTGGATCCAGAGCGACTCCTGCCAGGGGGACTTGTTATTAGCATGAGAATAAGCAGTGCCCAGAGGCCCACAGTGAAAGGCATGTGCATCATTAGCAGTACAGTACCATAGTAGCACCTAGAGACCCCAAACAAGACTGAGGACACATTAGCAGTATTATGATAATACCTACAGATTCCAATTGAGATTGTAGCCCTATCACGGATGTGAAGTGGTTCCTCCCACCCCACCACTGACCACTTACTTCAGAAGCTGTGCAAACCAACTGAGCGCTGGCCGCCGGCGGTACTTGTCCTCATCGCAATCGATCTGGGTACCTGGTGCCCTGCCACCTCCACCTTCTCGAGTGTCATAGACCTTCCGCGGTGTAGAGGCTGCTGGGAGATGGGGCGTGTTAGAGTGTAGCAGAGAGCCAGAGGCACCAGGAATGGAGAATGCAGGCACCCCCAACCCTATTTTGTCCCTCGCTCCTCCAGGTGTTAGAGTGTAGCAGAGAGCCAGAGGCACCAGGAATGAAGAATGCAGGCACCCCCAACCATATTTTGTCCCTCACTCCTCCAGACTAGATAACCCATAAACCAGTTCTTCCTCAGCCCTGTTAGCTATGGTGGACCCACAATCTTTTGCCTCAGAGTTATCTTAACCCCTAAATCAGACAGGAGTGAACAAAAAACAGGCATAGATGCTACAACTAGGGGTGCTATTGCACCCTCTGGGCTGAAGTGGTTTACATTTTGGTTTAATGGCTCTCAGCATGCCCATTGTACAAATTGTTCCAGGACCCGTGGTATCAAGGACATGACACACACAACTGCAAGCCCACTCAGAAGGCAGCCACTGAGTCCTCATTTCTTAGGGGCTGTATCTCACTGAATCCCACCTCCTGCAGGGGATGACAACTGCGCTGCTCACCTGCATTAATGGTGATGGTCTCATTGCTGGCATTCCCCATGTCGATGACTGAGTGCTCCTCCTTCACGCCCCCATTGTTCACACCCTGCTGCTGCGGTGGGGAGGAGAGGCCCGGTGAGGCACTATAGGAATAGGTTGAGAGGGCACTTTGCTGCATGGTCTCCTCTGAGCCAGAGCCTGCAGTTGCTACCAAGAAAAAAGGGAGCAAACTGAATCCAGTGTGGATTGGGGGAGCCTAAGATGGGTGGCTTCCATCTACAAATGTGAGACAGCAAACTCACTGGCGCCATGGTAAGATGGGTGGCTTCCATCTACAAATGTGAGACAGCAAACTATGACCCACTGGCTCCATGATTCTCCATGTCAGGGACAAACTATAACTTATGCCCTAGAACTGAAAGGTCTCATATCCCATTCCTTAATCCCTGAAAGCCAGCCAGTCTTCCCCTCCCATCTCTTGAGAAAAGACAATCGACGAAATTGGACCCCTTGGTCTCATCCCAGACAACAGGGAGATGGCGATTCTGAAACAGATGTCTCAGTTGGTCTCAGCCAGTGTGAAAGGAGGGGATATCAGACTAGATGGGCCACTAGCTCTGATCATCTGAAGAAGTGGGTTGTGCCCACGAAAGCTCAGGAAACCATCTATATTTTTTTGTTAGTCTTTAAGGTGCTATAGGACCATTCATGTTTTAATTTTTTTTAGATCTGATCTGTGTGGTGAGGGTGGAAGAGGTACATACTGGGCTGTATAGGACATGTTCAAACATCTGTGGAACCATTTTTATACTCATAGCCTGACAGCACTCACCAGAGAAGCTAGACCAGTCAGTGTAATCTGTGGTATCAGGTGACTCTGTTTCTTTGATGTTATCAGCCTCATCAATCTGAACAGAACAAAAGAAAATTGCATCAGCCCTTAGACACCAAAGCAAACTCTTCTCTCATCAACCCAGCCAATCCCAGACTTTGTCTGCTGCTCAAGCTGGAAACTAGACCAAAACTGGTGTCTCTTCTGTGCCATCTCCCAAGAGGACAAAGGCTGAATATCTTGTTCCCCATCTTCTGATGAACAGCTGTATCCATCCAGCTTTGCTGTCCTCCTAGCTCCCATCTTGAAAACTCCAGAGAGCCACAGAACAAGGGGGGAACCTCAAGGGTAATCTCTTACCAGTGGCAGCCCAAGCCCAGCCCGAGCCCAGTTCACAGTCGAAAGTTTCTCTCGCAGTACTGATGCCACTGGACTGACCAGGTTGGCTGGAGGGAAGATAGGACCCTGGCAGCTGGGACACTGGTAGCCAGCTGGGGCTGTGTTCTTTGGGAGCTGGTTTGCCATCTCGTTGAGACATGACCAATGAAACAGATCTGCAAAGGTAAAGAGCATGGAATGTCTTTAAGTGAAGGGTCTAGATCGATTACTCCCCAGATGTCTCTTAGTCAGATTTACTTCACAAACATCCCCCCTTCCATTAGTCCCCAGGGGCAACACAGCTGCTGGAAGGTGAACTGGAGATCATTCTGCTATAGACACTGTATTCATCCATTCACTTCTCATACTTGTATGGTCTTTACTCCAACACTCAGAGGCCAATTGGCTCTTAAGTAGCACAAGGGGGTGAGGAAATCTGTATTTAGAGATACTCGGTCTGAAAAAGAAGTCACAAAAACAGAGTAAACAGAGTCATGCTGACAATCACTTTTCTGACTCAAGTTTTAAATTTGTTTTAAAAATAACCAGACTTTGGGGGCCCAGTCTGTCACTTGCTAATGAAAAGAAAACCAAGCAAAACTGTTGAAATGCCCCAAACCCATGGCTTAAAGCACCTCACCATAACACACAAGCCGGGCAGTTTCTTTAGCGGACAGGAGGGTGTTGCAAAGACGACAATTGGGGTTGTAATCACTATCCTGAAGCCACTGGAGATAGGACTGAACAATGCACTGGAAAATACAAGAAGTTAGTGAGAGAAAGCCCATGGCTTGGAGGAGGTAGGGGTTGCTATTGGAGAAGCAGCACATGAAAAGACTTACAATTTTTAAGGCCAAAAGGGACCATTACATTTAGTTGAGTTTGAACTCCTACTACAATCCCAGAATCTCCCTCAGTGATTCCTGCATCAAGCCCATAACATGTGTGTGAGCTGAACTATCTATTGAAGAAAGATGTTCACTTATTACTAAAGACTGCAGAAGACAGAGAATTCATCATATCCCTATGTAGGAAGCATTTGCAGATGGAAACATCCAATGAGGTCCACGCTAACAGGACCAAAATTATATAAGGATCAGACAAACCATGAGGATGGTGTCTACTGCTAGATATTAACAGGATGCACCATTCCAGAAGACATGACACAGGATGGGAAAAGCTTGATAACCAAGAACTCAAGTTGATATGTGGTAGGAGAGGACTTTGAACGCAGAGGACCTTCAATTAGTACCAACCTGGATCAAATACAAGCCACTGTCCAAGAGGGGAAAGCCCCATATCCCATTCCCCACCCTTCTGAGCCAGCCAGTCACCCTCCCTGGGGCCAGATTGGAACTGATGCCCTACAGCAGGGGTGGGCAACCTGCAGCCTGGGGACCAAATTTGGCCCACTACTTAATTTCATTTATCTGGCAGCAAATCTCCATACCAGAAGCATTCCCCCTAAGTGCAGGGGAAATCAGGGAAGATGTGTGTGCTGTCCCACACCCAGCTCTAATGGGAACAGAAGCCAAGAGAAGCTGTAGCGATGGTGCCTGCAGGCATGAGCAGCATGTACCATGCAGAGCTGCCTGAACCCACTGCTTAAGGACTTCTTCTGGGAGCAGCACAGAGCAAGGTCATGCAGGGACTGGAAGCTGCCTCAGGTAAGCAACACCCAGATGGAGCTGACACCAATGTTCCCTCTAATTTTTTCCATCCATGTGCACCCAGGCATATTTTAATATTTACCAATAGAAAAACAAAGCCTAACTGTGGGCATGCTGTCAATCAGCTGGGCAGCATTTTAATTTCTCCTGAGTGGTTGCACAAGTACATAGATTACAGGTAACACTGGACCACACCCTGAACCCCCTCCCGGAACCCAGCTCCTTCCTAGACCCCAGGTCCCCACTGCTCCAGGTCAGAACCCCCTTCCATGCCCACAACCCAACTCCCTGCCCTGAGCCCACTCCTGCAATCAAAACCCCTTAACCCCAGCCCCACCCCAGAACCTGCGCACCCTCTCCCTGCCCTGAGCCCACTCCTGCAATCAAAACTCCTTAACCCCATCCCCACCCCAGAACCTGTGCACCCATCCAGAGCCCTCATCCCTTCCTGTATCTCAATCCTCTGTCTCAACATGGAGTTTCTCCTGCACCCTGAACTCCTCATTTCTAGCTTCACCCAGCACCTGCATGCCAAGAATCATGAGCACCGACTTGTCCGATTGTGGGGGAAAGCTTGAGATTGATTTTTTTCTGTACTCCAGTGGCCCCTGACAGAAAAAGGTTCCTCTCCCCTGCCCTAGAAACTCCCATTCCCTAGCAGTCCTGAGATGCCACAACTCAGCAGCCAGACGGGGGCTGGAATCCAGTTACCTTGGAATGGTTTGCGACGAGGCAGCTCTCACAGACATTCACTCGGTGCTCAAAACAGAAGAGGTTGGTGACTTTCCTTTTGGGGCATTTGCACAGCCCCATGGTGCTTCACTAGTAACACAGCGGGAGAGAAAGGGCACTCAGCAAAATCAAAGCCCAGACCGACCCCACAACCCTCCCAGTGGTAGGGCAGAACCCGGGAGTCCAACACCCCCCTGCTCTGACCACTGGACACCACTTCCCTCTCCGCTCCAGGGAGGAGCCCAGCGATCCCGGCTCCCATCCCCCACTCTGACCAGGGGACAGCAGGCTCCCGGTGCTGGGGAGGGAAACCAGGAGTCCTGGCTCCCAGCCCCACTTTGCCCCTCCCCCTCCATAGGGTACCCCCTGGACTCACAGGCTCTACTGGGGCTGAGTGCGCCGCTGCCACGTCTCTTCCGGGTAGGGTGCAGTTTGATGACGTTCCAACCTAACCGACTCCCCGCAACTCGGCGCGTTCCGGGGAGGATCGCGTTCGAAGCCTCGCGAGAAGGGACCAGACGTAGCGGCTGCGGCGCCTCCCCTGCGGC